ACAGAAAATTAAGTTTAAACATAAACTAAAACTAACTTAAAGTTTAATGAACTTTAATAATCAGTGATTCATAATGTAATAATTGGATCTTCTTGTTCCTGTAGCCGATCTCTAGAGGGACCTCCAAAAAAGGTATCTGGCGGTGAGGAAGATATTTCTGATTCCAATTATCTGAAACCCAAATGTAAAGAAATAAAAAACTATTTTTGAAAATTATAAGTGGATATAATCCCTTAAGTTGCCTTTTTTTATACTAATATGGTTAATAAACTTAATAAACAAGCATACGGCCTATCTAATCGTTACCTATAGACACCTAAATCACCATGTGTGTCACGTGTGCACTGAGCATTGCCAACCCTTAAGAAACCTTCATATACCCTTCTTGAAAAACCCCATGATATATGTCTCTCGATAAAACTCGGCAGGTAGTTCATTACACAATCTAAGTGCGAAAGGTAGCATCTGAAATCGCATTGTCCGAGACAACTTAAGTTCTAGAGTGTTGGGATGCATTTCCTGTCGATGGCGAGCAGCGCGAGGTTAAAAGGTAGCCGTAGGCATCATCACTACCATGGTGAATTCACCAGAAATCTACTACTATAACCTCAAGAAGAACTGCTTGAATATTGGCCTGACATTGACCCCAATGAGGCCACTAATCTGCAGTACTAGCAATGTCCTTTTCATAAATTTCATGCAAACAAACATATTGTACCGAGTTATTTTTATATATACACATGGTTATATATTTTTCTATTTATTGTTGCCAAGCACTTTGCTTGCCTTCTGTATTCGGCTGTAAATTGTGAGATTACTGAGTACTGCGATCTATTGTATAAATCAGGTGATGGAAATACAGATAACAAACTTAAAATTAGCTTTAGAGACGACGGGAGTTTTACATTCTCTTATTGCTACATTGGATTCAAAATACTATACATAATACTTGAATCCAACATGCATATCACACACACACACATACATACACAAACATAAAATATTTTTAACTTGACATCACAAAACAGATACTTTAACAGTTTTAGACGTATAAATATTGTACTGTAAAGTATTTTACAGTAAAATATTTATACGCCTGAGAGAGCTTGGAGATCTGTTGTATAGGTTTCGAAGTAGTCTTAGGCCAGGCTGACTAGAACCCTATCTTGTTATCGCAGCTCGTGTTAGATCTAGGTCCAGGAGCGCCGAAAATGGTCTATCGTATGTCGGGTCTTGAGGGCTCTTAATGTGGTCAGGAAATAGCAGATATGTGTTATAGAGATATACAGATTTTCTATATATATACTATATATATAGATTATTGTTATACTTACTTGAAAGTTTAAGTATAATTTATAGTGGGAAGTATAAATTACAGTGGGATGTGGTTATGTCAAGTGTATTATTTTCATATATTCAATACAACTTCGACAATTGTTGTTTACCTCATCTGGTATATTAGTCGTAAAGATATATTTATCTACATGATTGAGTATCACAACGATTATAAAAATCTAATTGTTACTGTATGCATTCAGGGTTTGCAATAACCGTTCGGCATTAGACGAACCGTATGCTTGACCTTTTGCACTATAAGATAAATATATTCATTACACAGACAGACTTTTTTACAGTTTTATTATATATAATTTACACATATGAAATCAATTAGACCTTCTAAGTGTCAAATCCACTAATATACCTTCAAATATGACAGTATGAATATGAATTTTAAAAATTGCTTACAGTTAGTTGTAACGCGTAGTAAAAATAGTGTAGCTTGAGATTCATGTGTTAAACTATTAATTTTCATATACCTATTACAAGAATACAATTAGAAAACATTGTTATTATTTAAAAAAAATATATATTTACAGTTTATTTTAAAATACATTTAATTTCATGTACATATTATATATATATCCTGTATTTATTAACAATTCAAAAGTCCTACGAAACGATCTTGTCATCATTGAAGATTTAAGTTTAATTAATTCGTGCCTAATTTTTGTTTTGGTGAGTAATAAATAAATAATGATATAATATAAGTATTTAGTATATATTAATTATTTACTCATTTAATTTATTTATTACTAGCTGTACCCGCGACTCCGTCCGTGTGGTTTTTAACTTTATTTTCCTAAAATAAATATAGCCTAACTTACTCGTTATAACATCAGCTACCTGCCAAAAAAAGTCCCGTCAAAATAATCATGAATAAATGGCTAATCCATTTCAGAGATTAGCCAGAACAAAAAGACCGACAGACAGACAGACAAAAATTATAAAAAATGTTATTTTGGTATATGTACCGTATATATATTCATATGCATATAGTAAAAAATGGTTATTTCAATATTACAAATAGACACTCCGTTTCCATACATTTTTTATACGTCTAAATTTTTATTTTACTTATAAACCAGTACGAGTACTAAACTTTTTGTACTACTACTAAATTTTATTGTACATCTCTTTATCATCACCTTTATACTATAACAATATTAGCATGACATTGAATTTCTCAAATTCAAATTCAAATTCAAAAAATATTTATTCATGTAGGTCCATAACGGACACTTATGACAAGTCTAATTATAATCAATCTATACAGTATATACGAGATAGTGTAACAATTACACTATTACTTAGAGAACATCTTAATATAATAATTTATACATCCAGGAACAAATCTTAGCCTAATCTTACATAACAAAGACAATAAACAAAACAAATAAACTAAACAATAAATTAAATTTCTCGTCTTATTCTATACTATAACTCGCATATATTATGCATATAAACCTTTCTCTTGAATCACTCTATCTTTTGCTGAAAACTGCATTAAAATTCTTTGCGTAATTGAAGTCTTTTTTATATTTTATTTTTATAAAGATATATTTATTCATTTTTGAGAGCAGGTAGTTTATAAGCGAGGTACATAAATAAGGTACATAAATGTTAACATTTTTGAAGGTATATCTTATAATAAAAGGAGTAGAAGATTATATCCAGTTTACCCAGTACCGTTTCCTCATACACTCCTAATAACAGGTAAAATATTATTATTTATTTCTTTATAATAATAGTAGTTATATTTATTATTTACTTATAATGCATATCTCCACATCACTTTATCTTTGATAGACTTTGTTAAAAGTCATCTACGTGCGTACTCAGTCCCGCCTATTTCACTCGCTAGACAGATTCTTTTATCCCGATTGAAGATTTAATGTGAGATAAGGCAGTGAAATTACTGAATATTACTGTATATCACCTTAGTCCCCTGCAATTCATGAGGTATCACGGGCAGCACATGATAACGTGATGTCAGTGATACTTTTCATACATACACGAGGTAGTAAACATTTACTATCAGCTTTAGTTAGATTAAAATTTAAGTATATGCAATACTTTTCTTTTAATTAATTATTTTTATTACAGTTTAAACTAGAAATTTATTAGTTTAAAATATATCGTAAATTTCTTAATAATTACCTACCTAATTTAAAGATATAAAATATAGAATTGAAGTTAAAAATATAAGTATTAAGTAGGTATATATGTATAACAATCCCGGCCACGTGTTGCTGCGGTTAAGGTTTTTGATTAAAATAATATTGCGACTATATATGAGCTATCCTATCGCTCAAGTTGGATCAAATTGCACATAATGTGCAAATCAAATTTGCAATCAGTTCGGTAATTTAGGAATCCATCGCAGACAAACAACGTGACGCGTAATTTTAATATATTCTTTATATATAAAAATTACGTGTCACGTTGTTTAAATGAATATTTATTGATAACGAAAGATATTTCCAATCAAGATAATTTTTGATAATTATAACTTATGTACTGCATTTAGTTTTGTGATTAAGATATTGTAGATCATTTTTGCTATAATTATTATAGAAAAGAAAGTATATATGCACATTTTTAACGTAATGAATCATGGTAATTCACCAGTTCGTGTAATAATCGTTACTTTAATTATTGTAATCATTATTATTTAATTATATTTCGTTAAGGAAATATTTTAATAAACCAGTTACGTATAGGTAACGATAGTGCTGTGTTGTGTATTATGTTATAATTGTAAGTTTAAATAGTTTTATATTAAGAAAATCCCTGGTTCTTTCTACAACAGTGACACTAATGGATGGGTTACTTAAATTTTTGTGATGATAATAAGGAAAATAAGTTTTCGAATTTCCGCTTTCTAAATATTACATCAGACTTTAGTGTAAAATCCTATACATTATTTTAATTAGTGACCGTATTGCTACCTATAGTAAGTATATAACGTGTTAATAGATTAATATTATAATATAATTAAATTATTCAAATATGTTTATTATTTAGCGTTCATCTGTAATAATTCATATTAATATTTTAAATGCTAAATTATGTCTATGTTTCTGTCTGTTTGTAATTATCCCACCGCTAAATAATTGTAATAAATTATTAAATTTGTGAAGACTATTTGTAATACTAGGATGGATATAGAACTAAGTATTATCTTAAAAAATAATTTAGAAGGTTCTCATATAGATTTTCGAAGTCGGTAACAGGGTTTAAAATGGTATTTTAATTTAAATAGAGTTAATTTTTATAATAATTGATATAATAAATATTAGCATACATTGTTACATAATATAAATTACAATTATTGCACGCCTGAAATGGCCTATCTATTCATGTTCTGAGATAATTTTTTTGGGACAAGTGTAGCATTGATGGTAATAAATATTTGTATCTTTTATCTTATCGCATATTGATACGCAAGAAATATATACTAACTATTTGTAACGTACTATTTTAAAAATGAATATCTGTCAGTCATAATATTAATATTATGCCACCCATCCACATAATACCACTGTATGTTGAATATAAATTATTTTTTTTCGTGTTTTCTTGCCAGTTATTTAGACAGTTCGAAAGACTACATATAAAGGACAGAACTCGTTTGGATTTCGCGAGACAAACTACAAGTGTTTACAATGAGTGTTGGTATTGGATTTAAGAACCCGAACTGGGATTTAAACAGAAGTCAATGTAAGTTTATTTATTTTATTTAATAAATATTATATTTATATTTTTGAAAATAGAATTTATTTATGGTAAATAATATAATATAATAATATCCCATATTATTTATTAACATAAACAAAATTATCAGAATATGTTGGATTTTTGAAAATTTGATTTTGATAAGAATTTGATCTTGGAAACTATCCACTATTATTTATTATATAATAAACATAATTACTAAAATTGTATTTTTGAAAATAGAATTTCATGATGGAAACTATCCGATATTAATCGTTAACATAAACAAAATTATTACAATTTGTATTTTTGAAAATAGAATTTAATAATGGATCGTAGCCGGTAATAAATATTATCACTTTCGTTTTTTAAATTTAATAATAAATATTTATTATTAAATTCATCATCATACATAATTTCAATTTAAGAATTACATATTTTTATTTTATATTCTTTATCTTTTAATTATATTATTTAGTTTGCGAATTTGCAAAACCTTTACGGATCGAATTCTCAAATGTCATTGGGTTTTACATAAATTATCAATATTTACTGCAAATTATTTTTCCTTATAATTTAAGTTTCCTCTTGTTATGTCGAGGTAATTAAAATTATCTTTCTCCAATAAATTAGAGGACAAAATAAATAAAATAGAATTATTTAACTACCTGCTTTAAATTCCTATTGTTAAGTAGGGTATTATAAAAAACTGCATTACTACTTTATTAGGCAGGTATAAAGCAAATAATTTGACTTATATGTTTTTTTATAAATGGAATACCATATGGTATGGAAGTAATAAAAATATGTAACCAATGGAAATGATAGGATGCGGGTGAAGTTAAATCTACCCATAGGGGTCAATTCGCTAGTAATTAAGCAATATGGTTTCCAAGAGCGACCTCGTGTTCAACCTGACATGCCATTGCTGGCGATGGGTTCCATTACTTATAATCGCCTCCCTGTCCTGTCCCAAAGGGACGTAGATTAGTTTTTCTTGTATATATATATATAAATAATTCTTGATAATTTCGGTTTCTATGGACTTCTATCTCAGACTACATTTTTGAGTTTGCTATGACGAGCAATGGTATTTGACCCATATAATAAAATCTAGATATTTCGCTGTTCACAAACAAAAAAATACAGTTATCTGGTATTATAAAGATTTCGTACTATGAACTTTTATAAAACAATCAATTGATCAATTCATACGTTCATCAACTCCCCAAATAGAGCGATGCAATTGCGGCCTTAAAGGAGCAAGTCATAAGAGTTGTTCTCCATCACTATCATACAAATCTCAAATTCTTTCATCATCTTTAGTAATTCTCCAAACTTTATTGGATCAGGATTACGATCTGTTATCCGCAATACACCACTCACTTTTGGTCTTAAGATTACCATTTATTTTTTTGTATGCAGAACTCCATTATAATTTTTAAAGTCGATGACGATGATGATCAAGTAACGATGTTTTGACATCATTTAGTCCCAAGCTAAGCAGAACTTTTTGTATGGGTACTAGACAACTGGTAGTGTAGTAGTGGTGTAGATACATAGTTACATATTTTTCTAAATAAATACACATAGAAAACACCAAGACTGATACACTGTTAGAAACATTCTGAACTGCGAGGACTCGCCACCGCGACCTTTGGAAGTATGGCTGTCAGCTAAACTACTAGACCACAGTGGTCAATTATATTGTATAGTTGTAATCTAATTATTTTACTTGATATTTGATGTTATTAAATTATTCATATGTAATATATTTTCTCTTTTAGATCCTGAAATAGATGAATACCCATTAATGGCAACTTTAGGTCCAGTACTAATGATAATAGCTGCATATCTAGTATTCATATTGAAAATTGGACCTTCGTTTATGAGGAAGAGGGAAGCATACAAACTGAAATATACACTTATAAGCTATAATGCATTACAAGTAGCATTTTCAGTGTATTTGGTGGGAAGAGTAAGTATTCTTATAAAAATATTAATATACTATTTTATATGTTTACTAGCTGTACCGGCAAACGTTGTTTTGCCTTAAAATAAAAAAAAATTAGGGGTGGACTACCCCTATTATTTAGGGAGATGAAAAATAGATCTTGGCCGAATCACAGACCTACTCAATACGCTCACAAAATTTTATGAGAATCGGTCAAGCTGTTTCGGAGGAGTATGGGAACGAAAACTGTGATACGAGAATTTTATATATAAGATTTATTTTATTTATATATTTAATTCAAGCTACTAATAACCCATATTATAAATACCTTACAGACTAACATATATATGAAAGATATTAAATTTAATAGATAAATATATTACTATACGGCACTGATGACGGCAATCTGCCACGATAGCGCCGATACAGTTATGGTGACCACCTGGTCGAAGGGCCACACCCTTCGACCAATGGTGGGAACTCGATTCCAGTTGAGTACCCTGAATGTCAGGTTACAGGTCCGTATGTAGTCGACAATGTCCTGCTCCTTAGTGGCGTAGTGCAGGCGGATGTACCTACCATTGCCGTGGTCAGTGTAGCAGCACTCAGCAGGAAGTTGGGCCCTACGAGTGCAGTGCCATAAAGGCAACTTAACCAACCAATAGAGGACCAACCGGACCACTAACCGGGTGGTCCTCTTTATCTGCCTCTTTTTCTGTACAATGACAAAGCCATCATCGCCACGGTCATCAGTGTTAGCACACGTAGGACCAATGTTTGGTGACATCTTTGGCACACGCCCCTGTTATGTTGGTCGTTGGTGATGTTGGTCGACGCCGCGACGGTTGCAAAATCTAGACGCTGTATTTATACACTTTATAATACCAATATACACTACAGCAAATTAAAAAAATTGAAAATATAACTAGGTATAAAAGGTTATCGAGTCTTATCAATAATCTTCCAGACAACCTTAGCAAAGACAATACTTATCTATACATATAAATAAAATTGGAGTGTCTGTTTGTAATTATGAAATAACCGTTTTTTACTATATGCATATAAATATAAATACAATACAAATACACCAAAATAACATTTTTTACAATTTTTGTCTGTCTGTTTGTTCCGGATAATCTCTGGAATGGCTGGACCGATTTTGAAGAAACTTTTATTGGCAGGTAACTGATGTAATAAGGAGTAACTTAGGCTACTTTTATTTTAGAAAAATAAAGTTAAATTCCACAGCTAGTAGAATATAAAGGAGTGTGATAATAACTATTTTTTTAATTTATGCATATACAATGTACACTCAATACAATTATTATTCTATTATGACATGATGACGATACAGTCAGGTCGATTAGCCCACCACAACAAAATCACCAGGCATTAACAATGACGGTTTCTAGAGAGGACTGCGTAGAGGTCGATTTGATTCCTAACAATGAGACCACTAGTTCCTATTATTAACAACTACTCGCCCCGGCTTCGTACGGGTGTACATGTATTATATATATAAACCCTCCTCTAGAATCACTCTATCTATTAAAAAAAACGCTTCCAAAATCCGTTGCGTAGTTTTAAAGATTTAAGCATACATAGGGACAACGACAGCGACTTTTTTTTTCATAATATGTAATGTTTCATTTTTCTAACTATCTAATGCTGTTGGCCGCAGCTGGCCTTCACCGGACGTTTGGGGGCGAGTGCAGATGGCACTCCAAACCCGCGGAGCGGCTGAAGGCCAACTCCTGCCTGACGGATACGACTTTAGTCTGAGGGCACCACTAGGGGTTCGAACCTCGGCTCGAACAAGGCCGTCGTAATTTCGATCCCCGTTTGAATTGGACGGGGGATCGATCGGAGGGGATAATATGTAATTATGATACCTTCTCCTCCAGTACTTAAAAGGCGTGGTATGCAACATCTGACTATACCTCATTTCGCAGCCTATTTTTTTTATCCAACGTGACCGGAAGAATACCTACATATTGCTACTCCATCTGTCGGTTTGTTATCAGTTTCCATTGCGGGGAGTCAATCAGATATGTAATTTACACACTACTTTTTACTTTCGCCCAGATTAGAACTCGCTGGCTGTGAGTTTAGGTTGATACACTACACTACTAGACAAGATGGTCTCATTATTATTATCTTTATATTTTATCTGTCTTATCGCTATCTTTACAGCATTTATTGTCCACTTCTGAAAATAGGATTCGTCTATACACTGATAACAATAAACGACAATTATTTAGGAAATTTTATTTATTTATTTATTTGTTTTATCTTTACATAATATAAAACAAAGTCATAGCCGGTGTCCGTTCGCTTATATCTTTTAAATTACGCAATCGATTTTAATGTACTTTTCAGCAATACATAGAGTGATTCATGAGGAATGTTTGTATGTATAATACAAGCCTGTTATGGTATAGAACTTTTTTAGGTTATTTGAATATATATATTTATATATTAACATCTGTTAAATCATATTTAATGAGCAAAGCATATTTACTCGCTAAACGATTACTTGAATGACGAGTGTGCATGACAATAGCTGTTGTGCATGGGATTTTCGTTTAATGTTAGACATAGACACCTATATTATATACATTACGAATAAGCAGGCATTTTTAAGAATAAATCCATTGAGTCTCTTGCCAGTTTTTCTCAATTGGATCTATATACTGAACTGGACGGTAGGGAAAAAATTAAAATTATAATGTAAAAAATTTGATGTTCATAAGCGACTAATATGTCCTACGTGAATAAATGATTTTGAATTTTAATTTGAATTTGAGAACAAACCGAAAACTCCGAAAAAGCCGGGTCGTTTGTTAACCATTAAAACATAGTACAAAAGATGGTGTTAAGCGTTAGATTGAATTGAATTTACTTACCAAGGAAGAATTTGTACAGTCGTCTGCATGGGTACTCTTGTCGCTAATGTCAAAGAAAAAAAAATGCTGTATGATATAAACGAGTAAGACGTTGGCGGTAACAAACTTTATAAGTATAGGGTTTCAGAAAATTAAATATTTTACATTATTTAACAAGAAAATTCAAATCGCTTAGTGTAGATTATTTATGTAATTAGAATCACTCCTTTCAACTTTTATACATAATAATCTTATATATAAATTTCTCGTGTCACAAGTCGTTAGTTACGATACTCGCCTAAAATGGCTTGACCGATTTTTATGAAATTTTATATGCATATTCAGTAGATCTGAGAATAGCCTACTATCTATTTGTCATACCCCTAAGTAATGATGTCCACCCCTAACATTATTTTTTTATTTTTTGGGCATTAAAAAATACATACAACCCTAAATTTTCAACCTTCTATCACCAACCCCTATTTTTTTATAGCGTTATTAATATATATTGCATTTGCCGCGACAGCTAGTACATATATAAACGAGTAAGGCACTGACGGTAACAAACTTTATAAGTATAGGGTTTCACAAAATGAAAATGAAACTCTATTTCTATTTCTAAGAAATATTTTACATTATTTAAGAAGAAGTTTCAAATCGCCTATACATACATACGCCTGTAAATAATGTATATTTATGTAATTAAAATCACTACTCTCAGCGTTCCTTTTTTTTTATTATCTTTCATACACTATATATTCATCTTATCTATCCACAAATATATTTACCTTCCTTGGTTTCTTTAATAAATAGACTAATTGTTAATATAATTAAATATTTCTTTTCAGTATTTCAATAATTTATGGGATATGGGTCTAGTATCTAAAACATGTCACATGGACCCGGATGATACGAGGAAAGAGGTAAATTTCAAGAACTATTTTTAAATTAACATAACAATACTTGATATAATATAATATAATATAATAGCACACATATTTGTAATTAAAGTCACGACCATGTTACTTTTTTTACGTACAACACTAAAAAAACACTATTCCTTTAACTTGTGTGTTGATTATTGTGAAAACAATTTTAGTTTTCACAGGAATAAACTAAATGAAATAAACACGAAAGTTTGTGACTTTAGATGGATGTTTGTTACCCTTTCACTCAAAAACCACTGAACGAATTTTGATGAAACTTTACAGTAATGTTGCTATATCAGAATATCACATAGGCTAAATATTTCATGCGGGTGAAACCACGGGTACAGGTAGTATTAAATAAATATAATTTGTGGATGATTTTTGTGTACACCAATCATTTGTTACATAGTTAGGAATGGATGCTGATATAGACTGCGTGTAGGTCGTCCTGACGGAGTTTATTACGAATTATTTCACATTAAGTGGTTTGTACTCACAGATAATCGTAAAAATGCTAATTTGTACAACATTTGAAACACAGGCAATTTTCTCATTGCTCTTGCCAGCATTAGCATTTTAAATTAGGTATGTAATAAAAATACACTCAAAAGTGCTTCTTTCTAAACCCTTTCACAACAATAAATGATCTAACAGTAACAACTGTATGTTTATATTGATTATTTAGAGGTCCAGATATTCGTTATTAATGTCAAAACCAATTTAGAAAAAGAAAGAAAGAAGAAAGAAAATTGTTTATTTGGTACATTTAAATTTACACAATATTCCTTGAATATTGTGTAAATATTTTGTACATAATGTTACTTAAAGTAGAAAAGTAAACTAAAACAAATCTCTTGGCGATCACAGACTATTCTGTTCATGTAATTTATATTACTTACAGGTGATCAAGGGTATATGGTTATATTTTGCCGCGAAAGTGTCAGAACTCCTGGACACGGTCTTCTTCGTGCTAAGAAAAAAGACGAGCCAGATCTCCTTCCTCCATCTGTACCATCACACCATCATGGTGATTGCCACTTGGGCGCTGTTGAAGTATTCACCATCCCATACCCTTTTGTTTATCGGTTTCCTGAACTCATTAGTACATGTTTTCATGTACACATATTACGGTTTGGCTGCACTGGGACCGAATATAGCTAAATATCTCACATGGAAGAAGTATATGACGAGTTTCCAACTAGTAAGTGACTTATAAACATATTCGTTATTTAATTTTTTATAATATATTGCTGGCAATCCAGCATATAGGGTTAATATGAAGAGTGTCACGTGTGCATTGGGAACCCTTAAGAAACCCTTATAGAAATATTAGGGTTTATTAATGTTTATTGAGAAACCCTACGCTGTAGTCTCTAGAATAATGTGTATTAAATTTTGAGGGTATACGATTTTTTTAATGGATGAATATGGAATATTGTAGCCACTTACTCTCTTAGTAAGTGAGAGATATACGCTAGTGCAACAGTAGTGGAGGTTGACAGCATTAGAATAAAGTCAAGCCAGTCAGCGCGTCGTAGCAATTTCTCTAAGAATTAACAACAATTATTTCTAGAAGGAACAGCGTGTTGGTCGAACTGACGTGCATTAAGACTATTCTCCATTAGTAGTATCCCAAATAAGGACGGATTGTCCCATACCAACATCAAAATAATACATCACATCAAATAAAAAAAAATATATTAAAAAAATTATGATGTTTTCCAAGAGGTAGTCGTTTTTTTTAATTTGGAGATTGCATTCCTAGCGAATGTAATACCTCCTTAATAACTGAATAAGGTTTATGTAATATATATTTGTATTATAGAAATATGTATTTCTATTTCAGATTCAATTCGTGTTAATAATAATACAGTACTTCAGTGCAGTGAAGATATCGGACTGTCCACCCTCGAAAGCTATCGCCGGATTGATTATGAGCAATACATTTGTATTTATACTTTTATTTTCAAACTTCTACAAGAAGAGTTACAGTATAGAAGACAAGAGGAAAGTGGATAAATGCAATTGATCATGACATTATTTGAACAGATCTTATGGTAAAGGAGTCTAATTCTTTAGTTTTTACTATTTCCTAGAAAATTGTATTAAAATATAAAGAATAGTAGGTATTACTTAGAAATCCATGAGTGTCTTATAATGTACAATAAAATAGCACTAAATGAATACTGAATTCAATTACAGTATCGCTTAGTATTGTAATAGTATAACAATTTTAGATAGATAAAAAGTAATAAAAATATTAGAATAATTTTAAAAAATGCATTCGAGAAATTAAACATCACCGTAATATTCAGGAATGAATTGTAAAATATTGTTGATTTTTTTTTGAGAACACAGAATGTGTTTTAAGATTTCAATTCAATTGTTTGGCAAAAATACCCGTTGAAGTTTATGAATACCCACTAGAGTTTAGGTTGTACCTATCCTATTAAAGACTGTTTATTGATTATTGTTTTAATACAGTACATAGTGTTATATTGTCTGTGGTACAGTAAACGTAATTGTTGATGTGATAAAAAAAAATAGCAAAATAATAATATTGTTAATTGTTGTCAAATTTTATTTATTATACTGTAATACAGTGTAATTTGTAGAGTGAATTAGAGATTTTTTGCCTGTTATTTTTTATATGCCTGTTTTATCTGTTGAGATATTTATAAATATATTACTATCTTAATATTCAAATGTATGTATTAATATATTTTTTAAAGCAAATGAGAAAGCTCTGAAATTATCGTTTAATAATAAAAAAATAATGCATTGATCAGATAATAAAGGCTCAAGAGAAATTATCTGATAATAACAATAATTTTATACAATGGTCAGGTAGATAATATTTATTTTATTTGATAACGTTATCTGAATGTATAATTTTAATTATGATTCTTATAGTCTACTATAATAAGTCTGTCATTCTAGAAACCATAACTGCGTTAATTTTTCCTTTATAATTAATTACCTACGTATTATTTCTCTTAAATTTATAATATTAAAATATTTTGTTGTACTTCATATGTAATTGTATAGCGTGTAACAGAAAACATTCGATATAAAATTTTAGGAAGATTTGTATGAACTGGAAAATATTTCATTAGAATTTAAAAAAAAAAGTGTGTATAATGTTATTTATGTAAACATATGTTAGAGTATTTATTTTAATTTCTATGAAGTTATAATACACTTACTCAAATTTTGTATTACTCAGTATATACAATCATAATTTTTACTTTCCTACTATTCAGTTCATTTAATTTCTTATACATATTCCGTTACATCTAGTATAGCTATATTAATTAATATAAGCTATCTATTTGGCAACATGTATGTTGTTAAATCTTGAACTTGACACATATTATACGCATTTTGAAATGTTAATATAAATTGTTTCATTCTGAAATAATTTTCAATTTTATTTATATTGAACAATACCATTTTATATTTATTTATATTTGCATGGCTATCAATGTTTTATTTTTTAACAAAAATAAATATTTTTATATACCATAATGTATTTAATATAAGCCCCTATTTTAAAGTAATATGCAACTGAATAAAGTTTACTATTTTGTTTTTAATGGTGTTACTGAAATAAACTTAATAGAAATATATAGAACTGGAACTGGAGTAAATTTTTTAAAAGTATTAAATAAAACAAATAACTGTTGATCATCGAAAAGGTCCATTTTTCTATTAAATAATAATAATAATCTCAGGACAATTCACACAGCGCCATCTACACCCAAGTTAAGCTAGCTAGAGCTTGTGTTATGGGTACTAGATAACTGATACATATACATAGATATTTTTTTTTTGTAAATACATACATATTATACATAGAAAACACCCAGACCGATACAAACAATCATACTCATGAATACAAATGTTTGTGCCGTGCGAGGAATCGAACCCGCGACCATCGGTCGTAAAGCGGTGTGCTTGACCGCTAGACCACCGAGGTCGTCAATTAAAGAGACATATGTTTTAGAATAGCACATAAAACTAACATGCATGCTAAACTAACATGCATTTCTGGTTTAGTTTCCAGTATTTAATGTTATAATAATTTAATACATTAAAAGGAGACCACTGCTAGTTACGGCGATTATCGTGTTTGAAAACCTTAGCGAAGTGTTTTAACATAACTTCTTCATATTTATTTCCAATGGGTTTCCAAGTTTGATCTGATCGGATCGGAATGCCAGTGCTCACTAGCATAAATCATCAGAGCTGGCGAGATCACGTGTGGACAGAAATGGAAGGAACTATAATTATATAGTTATTTTATTACATTTAGTCCCATATTCCTCATATAAGACCAAAAGGAATAAAATTACTACAAAATAAAGAGACAATATTATACAGAAATTATTACTTTATTGAACATAATATATAATCCTCGCCATTTATTCTCTTAACGTCCTTTATTATAATATGCATTTGTTCAACATTTGAGAAGTCACATTTTGGTTCTAGCTATATACATAATTTTACGAGTATTCTCCGATTTAAACATTTAGATATCATCAATTTGTTCGTAATATCTAATAGAACACCAGTAACGGTATGGGTTATCATTTAGAAATGTGTTTTATCTGACTTTATCAGTAAACTACATGGTCATAAATATTTATAACCTATAGCTGAAAATAAACTTATTTTAAACACAATGAAATAGGTACAGAATTAAAAATTACTTTTGAAAGATTATTATTTTGAATTTTATAAACCATTTCAGATAATTTTGAAATATTTAGTTTGAGGATTTGGAGAAATATAAATTATTTGTAAATTGGACCAGCTCGGAGCTGAACCGGAACCACTGGCTCACAGTGCACATAGGAATAAATACATCCCTATCATCATATTTATCGTTTCTTTAAATACTATAACTTGTTAAAACATACGTAATATATAGCACATAAATTGTTTAGAAGTTATAAATCAAAGTTCATATGACGTTTATTTGGTGCAATATCTCAAGACGTCCAACTACCAAATAATCCTACCTCGATGTCTTGGATCTCATCAGACAGATAGCAGCACTCAGTAGATCTAATAGACGTGAAGACTCATAAGTAACACTGTTTTATTTTAATTAAAATAGATTCATATTCATTAGAAAAATATAAATGACTTATAAATCACTAAAACAATATTTAATAAAGTATAGATGAAAATTCAGCACGAATTTGTTTATAAATTATAAAATTGGAGGCTATTGAAATCAAAAATTTATTGCAAAGTTTGATTAAAACAAATGTTGGTGCACAATAATAGCTGAACAATCAATATCATTTCATAATAAACATTTATACTTAAAATAACCAACATTATTAAACTAAAGAGACACAACAATATGATATAGATTGATTTTTATCTGGAAGACTAATATTTTTATCAAGAATATCAAAATATTTCTCAATAATTGACTCCATTTTCACAATAAATTTAAATTTAGGCAAAAGTAACAACCCTAATTAGCGATTTTAAAAAAGCAGCGAGAACAAATTCACGATTTAGATTGTATTCAAAACAATATGTAGGTTAGTAAACTAAAGAAGTAGTAGAAAGAAAGTAAACTAATTTTACAGGAGATTGGGCTGGAATATAAGTATTACGATTATCACAATAGTCGAGAGTAATGATACGAATATATGAATACTAGATTGTTACAAAATTTCTCAGTTCATTTCCATCAGGTGATTATTTGGCGAGTTGGGGAATACCGCTACAGAAATTAACAATTAACTAAATTAAACGGTTTATCCCTTGATACTATGATAAACGTAAGCTAGGTTCTGTCAATCCGACTTGGACACTCGGAGCGGAGGATGTAGGGGCATCCGAAGCTCCCAGGAGGCGAGTGATCCGTGGAGTGTGGGCGTGGAGTGGTCCCCGCGCCCAACTTCGGCGGCTCCTTCACTGGAGACCCGCGGCCGGAGTGCGGTCGAATGCAAATGCGAACCCGCACGAAGGCGTCTTTCGTGGTTTATGGAGGAACACCGAGGGGTTTTGGTGGGTCGGATTCGTCCAGTCCCACAGTATTCGTCCGCTCTCCTTCATAAAGGCGGACGTTTCGGTAATGAAACCTTTCCCCTCGTTAAAAAAAAAAAAAGGTTCTGTCAATCCGAAAATAATGATATAAATAATATGTAAATATTCCTTATAAAATTATTCAAAAATTAATTACTATTAACAATGACATAAAGGTATTACATAGTATCTATGAATAACGGTTGACCACGTAACCGAAAGAAATTAAAATTACGTTGACATTTTTAATACGTCTCCATATTTAACAAACATCCCATCAGATTAATAAAATTAATTAAATTTGTATACATTTTATAACTAATTGCATGTTTAGTTAATAAATTATACACATATAAAATGGTAACTTATTTAGCCACTACTAAAGAACTTTTAAAAATATTATAGATAAAAATTGAGCATGGTCCTTATAGCAGCTATTACCTATCTAACTTACAATTATTTACACTTTAACATTATAAAGTGTATTAAATTGTTACCAATAAAATCTATTCTATAATTCGATGACAGATCTTGAAGTGGCAGTAATTGTCTGACATAAATTCGAAGCTGACAAATTTATATATTTCAGAATACATTGAGAAATTGTGCATATTGAGGGATTGTAGAAAAATTTCCCATCAACCAACTCAAAATTTCTAAAAATACATTGATGACCCCAGTTCGTTTATTAATACGTATGTACTTCTTATCATCGGGTATTTTTTCTTTGGTCTTCGAATCTGGTATTATTGCTTAGAGTAACTTTGCGTATAGTATAGCTTAGGTTACATGAATGAAAGTATTTTTCTTATTGCGATTTATCAATTTAAATGCTTCTGTCAGTGTCCAGTCTATTAAAAAATAATGAAGGCGTTCCGTAACATATTTTGTAATATATAATTTACACTTTGTTAATATTTGCCAAAGTCTCCTACCTAATTAAGCTAGTCAAAATTTTCAGTAACACTTTTACATATTTCACTTCACTTTGTTGAATTCCAACGCCTTCAAAATATTCATAATAATTTTCGATAAATTCGTAACCGCTATCTTATTTACAATACTATAAAATTAGTCCATTCTAATCAACTTTCTTCTCAAGATTATTGCTTTCATTCCTGATCCCGTTTGTAGCTTTATATCCATTTTTGACATGTTCTACTGTTCTTTGTTTATCTGTACCATTTGCTTTACCATTTCCAATTCTCTTTTTGGTCTTGCTCTCATTGTTACTATATGCTTTATAGTAGAAATCATAGAATAGGTAATAGAAGAAAATGGAATTTGGTAAAGTGAACACGACGGACCATCTTGGGTAGCCGCAGTCGTAGAAGAGTAATTGAGATGAGTGCAAGAATGCGATACAGAACTGAAGCTGAAAGAGATATAAATATTTGTTAATAATTAACTTCTTGTGGTGAACTGTTACTGAGATAGTTTTGTACCTCTGCCTAGATTAGCCAAAGATACGAAACTATCTCGGTAACTTCTCTTCTCTTCTCGGTAACTCGGTATTTAAGTAACTAGCTGCATTTTGATTTCGATGATGAGATATGGCAGTGTATGTAATGTACTCAGTTTATGGGAATGGCAACATATTATGTACTATAGGCGACTATGTCGATGCCGTGATCTTGTACATATATTACTATTCCAGTTTGATGAAAAAAAAATATGTATAGATATATAATAATACGAGTATATAAATGCACTTACCATCTGCAAAGTTGTTATATAACGTTTCCAAAATAAATACTTCTGGAATTGGGGTCCCATAGCAGCAAACATATAGTATGTGTACATTATAATGTGTACAAATGAATTTATGACGCCAATGAGTGTTCCATGACCTCCTGGGTAGTATTTAGTAGCGCCCCATGATATCATAGGCATAACTGTATGATGGTACAAGTGAAGAAAGGTAATCTGTCTGTCCTTCTTTCTGATAACGAAGAATACTGTATCTAGTAGTTCAGATATTTTCGCCAGAAAATAAATGTAAACGCCTCGCGCTACCTGCAAAATGGATAAATACTATTTCAGACAAATCTAATTTAGTATTATATATAGTTGATATAAAGACTGAAGCGTCTATGGTTCACCCAGTTCGACTAGTTAAATGATAGTTGCCAAGGCAAAATAGTTCTTGCGTACCATCTTCGTACAGACAAAAACAGTGTACACTAAGAAGATATAGTGACGATGTCAAGAGTTTTAACTACATACAATATTCTACAGAGTATCGATAATGTTTTATGTTTATATAAAAATCATTAACATATCATAGTGTATATATTTATAACTTTAAATTCTATAAAAATATTTCAGTGTTACTCATTTTATTAAACAAGTCCATGATAAAAAATATGTATATTTATTAGAAAGGAACTGGGTTCTGTCATACTGCTCACACGTCTAGCTTGTTCAGAAGTCAAGACTACACGAAAATTGTAAATTTTATTCATTAGTAAATTATAGACATAAATGTACAAAATTTGTTACCAATTATTAAAGATTTTTGCGTAACATGTAAAAATATAGTGAAATTGAGGAACTTCTTGTTTTAAAATCGATGAAACATAATGATCATTAATTTGCAAAAGATTGATTGAACAGGTTAAGTGTGAAAGTAGTTGTGATGCCATTTAAATGCTTGTTGAATGAAATTTACAGCACATAAAAGGCAATAACCTATAAAGCGGTGTGAATTCATTATTAATATCGGATTTAATTTGTGTACTAATATATATTGGTACACTTTGCACAAAGTAATTTTCATGGATAATTTGGTCTCGGCTTTTTATATCGTCAAGCAGTACATTGTAAACTAGTTTTAAGATTAATGTGTAAAAAAGTGAATGATATGGTAGTGAGTTACATGGTTCGGAGCCATAACTCTTAGTCATCATATGTGTTTCTGTTTATTTTTTCTACTACTACATATGGTTATCCTTTTGTATGAGTTTCAGATTATAGTAAGTTGTACAATTTCTCTTTTTGTTCTGCTGTTGGCTCTTTTTTTAAATTGATAAAGAGATTAATAGAAAAAATATTTATATAATTTTCGTCACACACATAATACAAAAATAGAAATAATCTTTATTCAAATAAACTTATTACGAGCACTTTTGAATAGTCGTATTTTGATTCTACCAATCATTCGGAATGCAGATTCATCACAAGAAGAATGAACAAGAAACTTATATGTTGCTCTTTTGAATAAATGTTTTTTTATGTAAATAATTACAGTATAACAAGAGGCATGCGATAATCAACATAGAAATCGCTACGCACTCAAACTAAAAACTAGAAACAAAAAAAAACAAAGTTCCTGACTAATTTGAAATCATGTGTGTGCTGCAGTAATATAGAATAACCAGTAGGTCAGGTTATGGTCGCGCTATGAAAAGGCCAAAACACTGATACGCTTCCAAAACAATTGCCTGTAAATTAAAAATTTCTTTTCATATTAAAATTATATTACATTGTGTAAATATAATCAGAGTGTAAGAAGTACATAATAAGTGTTTAAGAATTAAATACCCATACATACCCTTATGGCTTCTGGTGTTTTAGAGAAATCAACAGGCTGACATTTCCAACTGTAAGATCTCAACCAGCCTGCTTCTAGTCCCTGAAATATTTAATTTATAAATTATTACCATTACTGAATAAATTAATAACAAATCAGCTGTTTATATTATGGGTTATCGCCAACCGATTATATTATGCTTCTGTACATTTAGCAAATATACAGAAAATATCATTGCGGTTTAAAATTACTATAATTTAAATGCAAGGCTTCTAAATCACTGATAAGATCAAAATAAGCTATGAAGACTTTGGCCTAGATGGCGCTGTATGCTATGATTACTATGTATGCTACGATACATATATTTAGTTTATATACTTATATATTTAGTCATTATTTATAGATGTAAATAATTCTTAATTAATAAATTCTAACACGGTCATTCTTACCAAAATTTACACATCTATACATATAAATAAAATTGGAGTGCCTGTTTGTAATATTGATATAACGGTTTTTTGCTACATGCCTATGAATATAAATATGGTACATACACCAAAATAACATTTTCAATTTTAGTCTGTCTGTTTGTTCCGGCTAATTTCTGAAATGGTTGGATCGATTTTGACGGGATTTTTATTGGCAGGTAGCTAATGTAATAAGGAGTAACTTAGGCTACTTATATTTTAGAAAAATAAAGTCCACGCGGACGAAGTCGCGATCACAGCTAGTATTAAATATATTATAAAAAAATGCACCCATTGTCAGATTTAAATGTAGACAGAATCTAGACACTGACCTCATGAAACAGCCAGCAGCTGACCACAACCTGGATGAAGTTGTATACAATCAAAGTCTTCTGTAACTGGAAAGGTTTTTTGTCAGCCATATATCTCGGTCCCCATTTTAATGTGAAGTAAAGGTACAGGCCAATTATAGTCAGTCCGGGAACCGGACTTGTGATCAGAAACCAGTCATTTGTCCGAGGATCTGTGGAAAAACAGTAAAAATGATTAGAATAAGATTTAAAAGCGTCATGTCTTAGAGGTACGTGCCAAAAACTCAGTGGATCAAATTTTTGACTAACTTTCCGGATATCGATAATATATATTATTTAAAAGAGTAACACACAAGTTTCTTGCTTATTCTTCTTGTGATGAATCTGCATTCCGAATAAGCGGTAGAATAAAAAAAACTTGACTATTCAAAAGTGCTTATATTAAGTTTATTTCAATTTATATTTCTATTTCTATCGAAAATATCTGTAACAAATCAAATTATTAAAGAGGTGGTAGTGGCAGGCATATATAGGCTATAAATTATATGCAGGTAAATTCGTAGGCTCAGCTTGTAGTAGTTCATATTTATGTATATACGTCACATAATTATTACTACCGCTGATTTTTTTAAAACAAATCAGGCAAATATTGTTCTTTTTAATTTTGAATTTAATAATGACTACTGACTATTACTGACTTTTTTCTTTTTATAACTAATGTGAGGTTGACCTCAATATGGTTTCTCTTAGAAACCATCGTGAATTCCTACTAAATTTGGCTCGAAGGGCTAACTAACCTGTTGCTCATTTTATCATCTTCTACTGGGGCCCCGCCAGCGTAAACCGTTAGCGCCGGTAGGTGAACCTTACCAATATTATATATTTAAAAAAATGCTCTGAATGGGGGAAAGAAGTAATGTGTACTAATAATCTTATTGTCAGCTTGATCTCTACGTAGATTCACCTAGAAAGCATCGTGGTAAATTCACTAGGAATTAGACTAACCTGACCTTATGCTCATTTCAACATCCTCTACTGCTGTTCCGCTTGTGCTAAGCAGGCGAGTGCATCACTCCATTGTCATCCTAAATACAGTATCAAGATTATAATTACGAGAATTATAATTATCATTATTATTACTTACCAGCTAATTCAACAAACAGTCGATTGTAGGTCCTCGAAAACGAGTTGTTTGTAAGAGACATCTTGAAGGAATGTCGTATTCACTGCGTCGCTGTCATGAAAGGCTAATGGACATTGTATATCTTTGTAGCCTGTATTGAACCTGAAAATAATAGAAATGGCAAGGTTATTATAGACAAATCTACAAATATTAAAACGGAGCGGTTTAAAATAATAGATATACTAGTGAAATTAGTAGATACGAAGATCCTAATCTCAGAAACAGAAACAGAACGAAACAGATAGAAACCTTAGGAACTTTTGGCCCTTAGGAGACCTTAAGAATGGCAACACATGACGCATCATGACGTGCCGTGCCGTGGTTCTGATCATGTATAAAGATGACAATTTATATGAAAGGTGATGACTGTATACATAAACCTCGTTGAGTACCTCGATAAGCACATAACAAATAAAGTTTCAATCTCAAGCAAACAATCATTATTGACATTACTTCGATTTGAAAGAATATGTCTGTACAACCTAACATCAAGGGTACATCTTAAAATAATTGAGGCATTAACGTACACAGGGTGTCGTGGACAATACCATTTATATTCACCACTAGTTCATTCGTTTGGGACTTATTAATCTGTAGTCAGATACAAGGACTTAGAAATGCTGCAAACTATAAAATAATACACCTTTATTTCACATCTGACTTAGAAAAATTACCTCGAATTCAATTTATAAGTACAAGACACCAAGATTTCTGTCAAAATCAATAGAGTTATTCGCAATCGCGAACGCCATAACCTTTAGATCTTGACCTTTCCAATATAGAACGCTCATACCTACATCTCTACCAAGTTGAATAATATTCATAGACAAAAACCATAACATATATACTGAAAAGATGGTATGTATATGTTTTTCTATAATTTGCGAGAATTTATTTACACCCAAATATAATATGTTAATTTATTTCTTTATAAACTACATAGAGAATATTGATATTGCGTAACTTATAATCACAAATAATGATATTTTCCTTTATCTCAATTTATCTAACATCATTTTTGTAATTTATCTCTTATACTTTAAGAGAAAGAGAGAAATTAAAATAAATTAGGTACCTTCTAAATATTAATTATGATCATTCCAAAAATACTGGTTTGGAAGACATCATTGTTGACATTAAACACTAAATAAAAGGGTTAACACATTTGATAGTGTTTCCGGGTCATTTTAATTAGTTCACGCGTGTTTGCTACACTCACGTGCGATAGCCGCGGCGGCTGGAGCTAGACTGAGCTTTTTGGGTTTACCCTCTCCCCTCTATGCGGTAACCTCTCAGTCTCACACCATATTGAGAGGTGGGTGTTGGGGGTAGTGCCCTATACAGGGTGCACAGTATTTTGAGTATGCTCAAATGAAATGAATAACGAGAATAATACTGCGATGTATATGTATACTGCATACTGCATACTTTGATTATTATTAACCAAAAAGATGCTACGATTTATTCATTGGTTACCAAAGATACTACACAGGGTGTACAATATTTTAAGATCCATAACTACGAGTATGCTTAAATGAAATTAATAATTTTATGACGAGAATTATATTGCGGTGTATGATGATACTATGATTATTATTATATTAACAAAAATGATAGTAGGTACGGTGTACACTTTGGTAATTATTAAAGATTTAAATTAAGGGTTGCATTGATTTAATTAGACAATTTGGATTTATGAATTATTTTCAATAGTATGAAAAAAAATATTCAAATTTATTTTTGGATGGATTTGGAAGTCTTTTTTATACTATGATAGTGGCAAATAAGCATACGGCCCATCTGATAGTTATCGTAACCTGTCCGTAGCCTGAAACACCAGAGGTATCATGCATGCGCGATATCATGTATGCGCGTTTCCAATCTTTCTTTGGTTTTAAAAAATGTGGCACAATGTATTTTTTTTTACGTAATGAAAATGATGAACAATCTGACGCCTTACTTGAATATTAATATACATGAACAGAAAAACAGACATAATGTCACTATATGACGCCCGTGATATTTTACAAGCGTTAGCATTACAAAGGACTAAGATGTTTGTACCTTCATGTATAAAGAAAATGTGCAATTATAAAAAAAAATTGTACACATCCTAGCCATTCTCGACCCCGACGATTCATGTACTCGTATTTTCACATTTCACTGTAACCCAATTTTATGAACATTCATAAAACAACAACCTGTTAAACAAAAATGAAACCGGGGCGGGGGTACACCCATCCCCTGAATGCGCCCCCGCCCGCGCAGAGTCTGTGCCTCGTTTGAAGAAATATACACAATAGAATAGTTAAGTGAGCGGACTTTTTAGCCGACTGTAAAAAAAGAATGTTCATGAACCGATTTGGATTTTCATTAATTGCATTGGTTTGTTTTTAAAGTTAACTGCTTACCTTCAATTTTATTATATTATCATACATTAGACGGTGAAAGGAGATGCTGAAGATGACTCCTAATCTTATCGTGTTTTTTAACGATTTTGTCGGATTTTCCTTACTATTAAATGAATAATTTACTATTTGAATATTATATTTATTTATTATTAATACTATTTCAATATAAATAACAATAATTAACCACCCAAACCCAGTAGAGACACTACTTTTATTTTATTATCCGTACTAAAATTATAAATGCAAAAGGGGTCTATCTGTTTCATGTGTCATCTATTCACGAGTAAACGGCTGTATGAATTTTAATGAAATTTAACGTCAGGAAAGATTATATTATAAATATATAAGTTGTCAAGGAATTTAATCAGGAAGGGCGTGAAATAGGGAATTAAGTTTGTATATGAAAACATTTTTTGAGTAAGGACTTTAAAAGTCAACATAAAATAAAAAACTGCTTTATTAGAATAGAAAATTCTTTATTCAAATTTCAAATAAAGAATTTTGTACTTAAGTAATTTATGTTCTGTTTTTAAATATAAACCGGTAAAGGCTACGGTATAACAGAATAGAAGAGAGGGTAGACTCACTGCCCTCACTGAGTTATAGACCGTTTTGTCTCCTTTATTAGTTTAAAATTTTATTATTGTATGGGCAACAATTGTATTAGTTTTTGTTTGAGACAAATAAAGATTATTATTATTATTATTATTATATACAATACATAAATAAACTCTTCCAGTATTACCGCCATCTATTGCGCTGTCTAATGATATTCTAATGTCTGTTTATAATGTTCTTTGATCATTACATATAAACATAGAATACTGTTTTCCATATACAAATATGAAAATAATTATTATAACCATTGTTTTTATATAATACATGGTATAGGTATGGTCAATCGCGTCACATTAAATCTGCATATTCTGTATATAATCCACAACTTACGACATAGCAATTTCTGTCACGTTTTCCTCCATGCCCCCAGGTCACAGGTGGTCACATTTGTCACATTCTGATTGTTAAAATGTGATGTCGCAAAATAAAACCCCTAAAAGACCTCCTAGGAATATAATAGAATATATATATTTGTATTTAAATAAAATTATATTTAACATTGACTATTTTTAAATTTAACTATTTTTGAATAGTTATCTTTATTTTTTGGATTTAGCTGCTCATTTGGAGGACTCTCATCACAGCGAGAAACTGACATGTTGCTCTTTGAAAGAAATATTGTAAATTTTTTTGAGTTAAAATGTGTGAATGCAAACTAATAGCAGTAATTCATTACAGTCAAAATATTGATGTGTGTAAAGTATGGAGTGTGACAGTGGTCCTTTATTTATGGGTTTTTTTTACACGAAGTGAGTAACTCCACCAACCTCATGTGTAAAATACGGAGTCTTGGTTTCAAGTCTTTTTTACACGGATGGACCGTTTGTATACAATGCTAGACGTTTACACCCCTCCACCCCTCAACGTGAGATGTAATTTATAAATGGACCCTTACAATAAAAAGCTATTTCAAACAAACATTATGCAAAGAAACATTTATACAAGACGCCATCTAGTGAATATTTTATGTAAGTTAAGTACTGTCTGCTAATGGATATTAGCATATTAGTGCGTCAGGTGTCTACGAGATGGCGCTAAACACCAATATTATGTATCACCATAGAAATATTTTCGCAATTATTTTTAAATTTGACGAAAAAGAACATAGGGAATAGAAAAAGGGATATGGATGAATCATTTTATTATGGATGATAATAATAATAATAATAAAACTCTTTATTATGCATAAAAAAACTATTAATTACAAAAAAGAAAGAAAGGTTGCCTTATCGCTCAAAGGAATCTCTTACAGACAACCAGGATATGATAATGGAATGGTGCACCCGCCTGCGCCAACGGTTTACGCAGGCGGGGCACCAGTGTAGGATGACAAGATGAGCATGAGGTCAGGTCAGTTAGTCCACCGTGATAAATTCACCTTGAATTTATCACGATGGTTTCCAGGGGAACTACGTGGAGGTCAATCTAACATGGTACATAGTTAGCAATGGAGTTATTAGTCCACATTAGTAACAATCCTTTTCCCGCCGGTACTATGGGATTCTTGTATACCTATGTTATTATGCAATCACCTATCATGATACGTATATATATATATATATTATGATTCCATACAAATTATATATGTAATCAGTAGGAAATAATATATAATAAATAACATTTTTAATTAATGCAATATGTGCAAGTTTTAATCTCACATTTACATATTGTTTACAACAACCACAGATAAGATAATAGCGGTTTAGTGCACTGCCTCACTTCCGAAGGTGGCGGGTTCGAGTCCGTGCACGGTGATATTTATATTATTCATGAGTATGATTCCCTGTATGGGTTTGGGTGTTTTCTATGTGGACCAGATTTGAATTCACGACCATTTGAGTCGGTTTGTAAACCGTTGGACCAAGACGCTCTCAGATATTTTTTTTTATTGTTGATAATGGAATGGTGCACCCGCCTGCACTAACGGTTTACACTGGCGAGGCACCAGTGGAGGATGATAAGATGAGCATGAGGTCAGGTTAGTTAGCCTATCGTGACAAATTCACCAAGAATTTATCACGATGGTTTCCAGGGAGAACTGCGTGGAGGTCAACCTACCATGGTAAA